GTTTGCAATGACGAGGCCCTCCGGGCCTAAAATATAAAATTTATTTATTTTAATTCCATTTTAGCCCCTGTGATGCCGGGGCCTTCGTAAACTGGCGCTTCTTTGCGTGACTTCATGTTATGCATATTAGCGATCATGAGCGAATTATACACACATTTCATTATCCCACCCTGAACGGCTATTGTAGTATTAGCCTACCATACACATTTATCCTATTTTCCAAAGCGTTTTTTTATTTCCTACACGCTTTTTGAAAATGGATGCACCTTGAACTCTGCCTTCATTTGCATTGTGGGAGTTTTTAATTGCCTATTTACTAGTTTATCATGAATTGCAAAACATCGCCAAATATTGCCCCAAGAGGAAAATTTCTACGGACATTATTACCAATTTGAGCATTTTATCTGCGCACATCGCCATAATTTTTAACGAAACTCAGTTTTTATAGCTAGTGCCTTCCTAGCGCTATAAATATAAATTCCAAAATAAGGTTTTAACCAGTTCACACTGGACACACAGTGCCGCGATAAAGTGTTGTAAAACAGTGTTATCATTTTGCAGGCAGGTGGCCAGACCAGGCAGCCTAACCTTTTCTCCTAATATACCAAAAAGTATCTTTCAATATTTAAGCCATAGGGTATAATAAACAAAGCCATTGCATTCGCAGGTTAAATCAATTCAATCTTCTTCGACGTCGATGAAACTAAAAATGTTCCTATATTGACATATTAATTCCTATATCCAGTAAAACCCATGAAAGCTATGTTAACTAATAAGGAACTCCGCTAATCACAGGTAGAACGACTCAGCGCAGGAGTTGATCAGCACAATAGGACAGATGGCCGATCCACACTACTTACAGAACTAGTCCAGGCTAAACAAGAGGAAGAAGATACAACTTTTGGAATTTGGAATTTATCTTTGTTGGCGCCAGGAAAGCATTATCTATACAGAAGACGAAGGCATTTCGAGCACTGGAATCATAATTTAATTCTTATGAATTTTCGGGCTCCTGTGGGAGTCCATCATCAGAGATAAAGCATCGATAAAAAGCGAGCAACAGTAATAGGGAACAGGCAGTAATCCACACATTTAGGGGGAAGGGGGTGAAGAGGAGAGGGGACGAAACTCATAAATCACCAATGTCGGTCGTGCAGATATGAATGCAGAGGGTAACGTATGCGGGCGCCAGTTCATCACATCAGTTGACTGAGTTGTCACCCGAGGCCCAGTCTTCAATTAGCTCTCGTCCTGTCTTGCTGCTGCCGTGAGCAATTAAATTTGCGGCTGCGAACGCCAACAGCGGGGTTGAGGTAAGGAGACGCTTGAGCTCCCCAAATGAGCCAGCACATTCCTTAGACCAGTTGAACACGGTATCTTTACACATAAGCCGATTTAAGGGTGCCGCGATGCGCGCGAAATCCCTAAT